CTGTTGACATCTTTATCAGTGTCACCCACACATAAGCAGAAGCAGAAGAAGAAACCACAGAAACACCCGTGAATGCTCTGATGAAGACAGCAGTGAAACCAAAACCGTCAGCAAACAACTTGTGCTGCACTCTGTAAATCCTTAAGAAGCAATGAAAATTCCAAAAGAAACTGTATGAATATAACAAAAATGTTTAAAGATAACTGTCTTTTTCCCTGGTTTCCTCAGTTTTATGTGTAAATTTAATTCTTTATGACGAAAAGATCTATATTCATCTATTATACTTTACAAGTTTAATGACAAGGCTGTAAGAAACATTAAAATTACAATAAGTGTCAGCAGAACTCTCACAGGCAGTGAGGAGTCAAAAATGCTGAAAAGAAAATCTAACAAAGACACAAAGAGCAGAACAACGTCACGACATTTTTGCAACAAACTGTTAAAAACTAAAGAAATCAATCAAACCATCATCTTATATTTCAGAGATGAGTGATCAACAAAACTTGCTCAAGGGTAAATAGTAGCAATGATCCGATCAGATCACGTGATCGAGCCCGATTACCGGTCACATGATTTTTAAAGGAGTAGAAAAATATCACATTTAACCTTAACAACAAACATGACACCCCCATATTGAATTGACGCTATGCATTACGGGACTCCCAGGGGCAGATAAGAGTTGGTCTCTCTCTGAGAATAATTATAAATTTAACAATGATTACTGCTTGATGAAATTTTCCCACATCTGCAAAGCTCACTGGAAGGACGCAAACCGAGGACAATATTTTCCTGATATAGGGTTTATTACTCAAGTAAGGATTAAAAAGTATCTGATTAGAAGGCTACTTGAGTACTGAGTATCATCTGATCTAATATTTTTAAATGATGACATCAAACAGACATGAAATAAGAAGTTATGGGCAAATATTGGTATTTTACAGACTAAAGGGAAAAAAACAGAAACAAATGAACAACATAATTACAAAATAACACATTTTAGGCAAAATTTAGACACAAACTGAGGACAATATTTCCTGACATAAAGGGTTTATTTAATTGTGTGAGAATGTAGCACGTTTAAAAAAATACCGCGATAATACCAAAAACCGTGGTAATTTTGGTCACAATAACCGTGAGGTTAAATTTTCACACCGTGACAACCCTAATCGGCTCAGCATCTGCATCACTGCAGACGCCAAACCAATCCGCCTGTCAATCTCCCGATCCCTCCTACCCTCACTCGTGAACAAGACCCCGAGATACTTAAACTCCTCCACTTGAGGTAGGACCTCTCCCCTGACCCGGAGTTGGCAAGCCACCCTTTTCCGGTCAAGAACCATGGTCTCAGATTTGGAGGTGCTGATCCTCATCCCAGCCACTTCACACTCGGCCGCGAACCTACCCAGCAAGAGCTGAAGGTCAGAGCTGGATGAAGCTAGGAGGACCACATCATCAGCAAAAAGCAGAGACGAGATTCTCCTGCAATCAAACTCGACACACTCCACACCACGGCTGTGCCTAGAAACTCTGTCCATACAGGTAATGAACAGAACCGGTGAAAGGGCAGCCCTGGCGGAGTCCAACCCTCACTGGGAACAGGTCCGACACTACCGGCTATGCGGACCAAACTCACGCTCCTCTGGTAAAGGGACTGAATGACCCACCCCATACTCCTGGAGCGTCCCCCACAGGGTGCCCCTGGGGACACGGTCATAAGCCTTCTCCAAATCCACAAAACACAAGTGGATTGGTTGGGCAAACTCCCATGCCCCCTCCATCACCCTTGCAAGGGTATAGAGCTGGTCCACAGTTCCACGGCCAGGACGAAAACCACATTGCTCCTCTTCAATCTGAGATTCAACTATCGATCGGACCCTCCTCTCCAGTACCTTGGAGTAGACCTTTCCAGGGAGGCTGAGGAGTAACCATATTAGCAACTATGGCCATTTTGTCTCAATCATATTTTGTGCCTTTACTTGTAAACCAAGATGGGGCAAAATATTAAAAATTAGGAGAAATGCAACCCAACCCAACGATTCTGGTTGCTGCACAAGGCCTGAAGGAAAGCACATAAGGCTGTTTGCTGTTTGCTGTTAAAGGACTGAGTTTGTTTTAGTCTCACATCTACAAAGTTCTCCAGCTCCATTTGCAAAACAACTTCACAGATGAACTTTAAATCAGGCTGATACTTCTGCTAATCACCACTCATCTCATTGATGCTAACATTGTTAGCTTCAGGCACACTCATTCAAATGGATTAACTCACCCAGAAAGTGCTGCTGCAGTCTTCCTCTATGTTCTCTACCTAAATGCTGAGAAGATGAGCATTTTAGGGCTAAACAGTCGTCTGAAGAACATTTAAAACTGTTTATGAAGGGTAGGTTAGATCGATGAAAACTATTGGTGAGTAGCATTTCTGTTTTGGCTGATGCACTGTTGTTCGGTACAGATTTGAGGATCTGATTGTGCTTGATTTATTATTAAAAATTTATAATAAACTTGCAGGTTAAATGTGGCCCAGTTGGAACCCATTTAGGGTTTTGTTACTCTGGATTTCCGATGTGTAGCTTATGCAACTTAATTCTAAATTTCTGACCTTTATTACAGAAGAAGTGACATAATCATGTCTCTGCTCCAACGCTTCTGATTCAGCGGTTGATTCACTTGTCCAGCAGCTCATCAGGCTCTGCAAAAGCCTGTTAATCACCTGCTGATTGAAACCAGGTGTGTTGAAGCAGGGTTGAAACTAAAATATGCTGGACAGCGGCCCCTGATGGACCAGGGTTCCCCACCCCTGTATTAGAACGCGTTTTGATTAAAACATCATTTTACTGTTTTCCTCAGAGGCAGAAGTTCATAGATCAGTTATGTAAATGTGACGCCATAACAAGTTGATTATCATGCCGACAGCTCTACAACTCCTATGTCTAAACTCACTAATGCCGCCCGTCTGAGCACACTCAGAGCTGGACTTGTATTATTTGCAGCCACACGGTTTACAGCAGACCTCACAAAGCAGGCCAGAAAACGGCGTTCCACAGATGTAAAAGAATCTGACTTTATCCTAGAAAAATCGCACGGCGCACGGAAAATATTTGCTAAGCAGGAACTGTTTAAAAATAGAGCAGGAGGAGAGAACTCCATGTTTTTGAAACAGCCAGACTGAATAGAGACATGTCTCTGTTGAGCCGTGTGTTCCTGCAACTGTCAGTAAGATGATGACTCTGTCAGCTCAACATTTCTTTTTTTTTTCAGAAGACAGAAGTCATGGATTCCTCCATTGCTGCCAGTGGCTCTCCACCGTCACTTTTAACAGATGTTGACTCTGATTTATGTTTAGTTTCTTTCCCAGAAACATCTTTATCTGAACAAACTGCTCCTATTAGCCCCATTAAACCCACATTGTTAAAGCAGGTTTTTCCCTCCTAATAAACACCTTTATTTAGGATCTGACCCAGATGTATAATTATGTAATACGGCAACACGATGTATCACTTTTTCTTAAAGTTTCGTAGTTTATATATTAAACCTTTCTCTAAAAAATCTGGCTGATACTCGCCAAATGGTATAAATGCGACTCCACATTTATGAGCCTCGAACTCTGCAAGTATTGAGGTAATAGTACTTTTAAGGGCATACATATAGTCAAATATACTCCTGGCATAAAATGTAAAGCTTAAAAAAGTTACAGGTCACTGTTGTGGGACACTTGCATCTATTAGAGAAGTCATTTTAAGCTTTACTGAAGCCAATTAACTCCTGAGCATTTTGAGTTTAAGCTGAACTTGCAGATCAGTTTTTATGCATTAATAATTTGCATAAGAGAATGAATGTATAACCTATTTACATAATTTAGACGTTAAAAACTCACACAGGGATGGAGATTTCAAACAACCCACTTGACCTTGAAATAATTCCATCATCAGACAGGATGTCTTTCAGCGTTTGTTGTTTTTCAGACAAAAACAAATGAGTTAGTTTACCACAAAAAGCTTAATAGCTTATAATCAGTTACTTAAACACAAAACTCCTATTTAAGCTTAGAGAGAATTGACATTTGTTACAGAACTAACTTACATCGACTCTGACTCGCTATATTTTAAACATCTCACGTTGTCTTTTTTTTTCAAGTTTCCCCTGAGTCTACCCCCTTCAAGCCTGTCACCATCACAGGCATGCTGGTCGGAAAACACGCGCGCGCGCGCACGCGCACACACACACACACACAAGAGGAGACTGACATTTGGTCAGTGACAGGGCTCCTGCTTTGAAAATGTGTATCTAAACACATTTGGAGAGGAATACTAAACTCACGTCTGCAAATGTGCAAATTGGAAGATGTCAAGAAAAGATTGCATTTATGGCAACTTTTTACCTGCTGAGGAAAGGCAACATTATTGTGCCTGACGTGTTTGCATGCTCTCCTGAAAAATGAGAAATAATTGAGGAGTATTGTTTAAACTGGCCAAGAATAATCCAGCTTACATGATTTACATAGTTTGTTGTCAGGAGCCACCCTCCTGAGACCAGACAGACATGCTGTGTGTTCATTTATTCCTATAGAAGACCCTGGGGACAAGGAAGAAGCAGCTGAACTGGATCAGCTGACAGAGTTAGCCAGAGGCTGACATTTGCTGTAACAGCCAGTGGTTCCTATAGGTCTGGTTGTGTTTACATGAACTCAGACTTGGTGAATCCACGCTTTAAATATGCGGCTCACTTTTTTTTTTTTTTTTTTTTTTAGTATTTTTTAAATGATGCAAATGAGCACAAATATGGGAAATTTTCAAAGAGGTTTGCTTTATTTGTTATTTGGGATATTACTTTTCTGCAAAATCACATTTTCTTTTGTTAATTAGGCTGGGCAGAAACAACACGTGAATTACTAACAGCATTTGAGACACATCAGAGTTGAATGGGTTGGATTTTTTTTTTCCTGAGCATTTTTTTAAAGTGTTTTTCTGTTGTTGCAGGTGAGTTCTGACACTAACCGGACTCACCTTGGTTGGAGACTCCTGAGTCCGGCAGGACACTTTGAAGCAGGAGCAGAAGCACGCAGTATTTTCCACCGGAGCGCATCGTTGAGTCAGACAAGTGCGCTCTGAACTAAAGCGCCGCCAGCCTCTAGATCCACAAACTGAAAAGAAGATTGCGTTTCATGAAAAAAGATCAAAGATGAGTCCCGAAATCTTCCAAACTCCCAGACTTTAGGAGGCTGCAGACGAATCCGCAGGAGTTGTCTTGTTATTGCTATTTCTGAAACATCCTTGAATCTTCAGTGAGCTCCCAGACACGATCTAAACCAGAGAGAAAGAAAATGACTACAATAATAATAGAAACACGACAAATGGAGCTGCAGCAAGTTTCGAAAAAGAAAAAAGGTAGATAAAGCGTCCTTAAATCTCAAGCTGACGCCTGGAAACGCAGAGCATGAAGGAATAAAAAAGTCCGTTTGTTTATTTTCTTCTGAAAAACGATGCTAGAGGATGAGGGGGAAGCCAAACAGGAAAAATCCCGGACTTCCCGCCTCACTTTTGGCCGGTGCATCCCCGGCTGTGTCTCCGTATCACTGCGTGCATCTCCCTCTCTGTTAGGAGCAATGCTCCTGCGCAGGAGGATAAGTCCACACAGCCTCAGACTCCGGAGCCAAGTCCACGCCAGCTAAAATAACTTGTCCCTTGCGGTATTTCTCCTCATTTCTCACTTTCCATCATTAAAAAAAAGCGCGTTGTTTCCATCAGACAAAAGCGCGATCTTCTGCTGCCTTATTGATTTCGGCCATGCTGATGCTGGAAAGACGGAGGGAAATATGAAGCCATCATTACGCTGCCATATCAAGCACGAGCTGCAGGTTTTACCTGCTCTGAATTATGTTGTGGGGGCCGTGTCTATTTACGGTGGCAGGAGTGGAAAGAGCAAGTTTAGACTAATTTGTTGGGGTAGGAAACTCAGACACACCAGGTCTCTGAAAATATTTTTCTCTGAGCTTTTCTTCTAAACAGACTTTCATCCAACCATCAAACACCCTCCTGGCTGATGTGGGCTTTCCAGAGGAGGTACAGTGGCCTTTTGGTCTCCAGAGCAACACTTCAGCTGAGGATGCTGCTTACACTTAAGGGTCACATTAGTCACATTCTGTCATTTTGGCAGACAGTGAGTGTAATTGCTGGTAGATTTGGCAGTTGAGTCCCTGTTTAGAAGAGAAATACTCACCCATGCAGCTCAAATTGCTCATAATAAAGTGGCATCAGCTCAAATTCTATTTTATTCCCAGTGCTCTCCAAATGGAGCAGGAATTATGCAACTAAAAGTCTGGTTTAGTAAACAGCAATAATATAAAAGATAATGGATAATCAAACTTTGCTGCACAAGGTTCTAAAAATCAGACGAGGTAACTTTACGTAAACCTGCGCAACTACCTGTCCAATCACACGGCAGCTGTGCATTCAGGCGCCTTGCTGAAGCTCATTTTGAACATGGATGGTCTGAATATTTCAGACCTACAGAGATATCCACCACAACCATCTCAGGGTTTACAGAAAATGTTGCTAAAAATATGTAGATTAAAAATGCCCTCCTGATATCTGACGTCAGAGGAGAGTGGACAAACTGGTTGTAGATAATACAAAGCTCCAATCAAAGTCTGCAGAACGGCATCTCTAAACACAAAACATGTTGACGCTTGAAGCAGGTGGACTCCTGCCAGTTATAAAACAGAGGCTACAAATCACACAGACTCAAAAACACTGCAAAAATATTTCCTGTTCTGATGAGTCTTGTTTTCTGCTGCAGCATTTGGGTGGTTGTGAAAGCATGGATCCATCCTAACTTGTCTGAAGGATTCAGGCTGCTGCTGGTGTTTTTGTGTAGGAGGTGATGTCTCATCAAACTCCGAGCCTCTTAGCACCAACTGAGAATAATTTAAAGGTTCTATCATGTCAAATCCACTTTTTGGGGAGATTTTGACCCTGTTTATTGTTATTTCCTTGGCAATCGCTGAGTGGAACACGACAGTGTGAATTGGCAGCAAGTGTCAATTTGCGGTCTCCGGGTCTGCAGCTGTGTACTATTGTGAAATTTACACAGGCAGAGGCGGCTTTTCATCCAATCCTAGCATCTCATTTCTGGATAGAAGTAATAACTCACAAAAATAACTTATATTTCATTGAGACAGCAGTAGCTCAGGAGGTAGAGCAGGTTGTCCAGTAATGGAAGGTTGCAGGTTTGATTCTGGATGCTGCTGTTGTGTCCATGGGCAAGATGCTTAACCTGGTGGTGGTGGTCAGACAGACTGGTGGCGCCTCTGTATGGCAGACCTCACCTCCATTGGTGCATCCCAGGGCAGCTGTGGCTGCATTGTAGCTCATTATCACCAGGGTGTGAATATGTGTGTGAGTGACTGATTGTGTTGTGAAGCTCCTTGGGGGGTTGTAGAACCCTAAGAAGGCACTATAAAAATACAGGTCATTTACCATCAAGAAATTAGCCAACGGTAATATTTTATCATATATTGTGCCTATAAGGGCTAAAATATCATGATACTGGCCCTTTAACAATCAGAACTCAAGTACTGTTGGTGACCATGTCCTTTCTTAAATGACATCATGTCAAATCATCATGTCACAAACACCAAGTCATCCTCATCTGATTTCTTGAACCTCCCACTGAGTTCACCATACTCCAGCCACCTCCACAGATCTCAGTCCAACCCAACACTGTTGGCATGTGCTGGAGACAGATTCCCATCATGGATGTGCGGTCGACAAATCTGCAGTAACTGTATAAGGCCATGGTGTCTGTATGGGCCAGAATCTTAAACCTTGTTTAATCTATTCCATGAATTATTAAGGCAGTTCTGGAGGCCAAAGCGGGTCCAACCTTGTGAGGTGGAGAGTACATCCAAAGGAAAAAGGTATTGTTCATCTGAAATTAATTACAGGGCTTGTCCTGCACTAAGAGGAAATGCATTGCTATCTTCTGTTTTGTGTATTTATTTTGTGGTTTTGACGTGAACCCTTCAAAGACCATATTTTGTCTCTGTTGGATATTCTCCATTGACTGATCCATGGTGAATGATCGAATGAACAAACGAATGAATGAATTTTCTGACTTTGTATCTGGCTGTACAGTATGTGGACCATTAAATGTATATTTGGATCATTCAAAAGACAACGTGTAGTTTTTACCTTTAATCTCTGGAAATATTCATCAAAACATTGTTCAAAATGAATAAAATTACGTCAAGTCATTGAAAAATGTTGGCGGCATCGTTGCATAAAACCATAAAAATCTGGTCTAAAGTCTAGCGTGTTTGGGTAACACATTTTAGACACCATGTTTCCCTCTGGTCGGTTCGGGGTCGGTGGAACTGACATCACACTCGATGACTGGCTGGACATACGACTTACGAAAGTTGAGTTTCTACGTTTGAAAAGCTTTAGGAAGTAAGAAACATGAATTTAATGACAAAACTGCTAAATTCTTTCCAAAACCTATGTGAAAATAAACGAATCTAAAAAGAGCTGTCCAGTTTGGTCGAGTGGTATTAATGTGGTGGTGTGACATCATCGGCAGGCACAGGACCCCAAGCACATCCAGAAACTGCAGTGCCAGAAAACTAGCATCGGTGTTGCATTTTCTCAGTGGAATTAACTGGACCATCAACGTCTGAGGAGTTACATCGAGGTTGCATGCTTCCTGCTCCACAGGTAACAACATTTACGGTTATGTTTCTTAAACTAGAGACAGTCAATGATATGGTGTAAAACTACCCTGAAATGTGCTACCCCCCTAGTGTCAGAAAACTACACAGTGCCACTTTCAGTCATTGTTTTATCAGCTTGCAGCAAAATGCTGAATCCCAAAATTACTTTCTGGTTACGGTTAACGCATAAATCGTTTTTATGAGGTTAACAACATCCATCCTAACAGTAGTGGCAAACTGCTGGAGTTTTCTTGATAAAGCAGCCTCCTTCCCTCTGTGTTCCAACATTTCAGCACCAAGGACAGTGGCATCAGCCTTCAGAAGAGTTTGCATCAGGAAGATTTTGGTTTTCTTGCGGGGATAAAAGATAAATCTTTATTTATACATCCGAATGTTTGCCTAAATTATTAGTATCTGCAGTTCAGTACGTGTCCTCGCCATCCTGCAGACGTTATTGCACTAAGATTACTCCAGCGTGCATTCTGCAAATATTTTATTAATCTAACTAAATTAGAGGATTCTGTTATTGCTGCTTCAGGTTTCAGAGGATTATCTTGACTTTCTAATTTCTACATCCAACCTTCACTTCAATCTTAAAATACATGGATAGAATTAGAATTAACCACTTATCCCTTTTTTTGTTTAATAATTTCTCTTTTCAGATGTTTCTCTCCCACTATTGTTTCCTTCATTTTAACTGTTGCTTCAAAGGCTGAAAGCTAGAAGATATTGATTGTGGCGGTCAATAGTAAGCCATTTATTTCCTGAAGAAGAAAATGAGCTGCCCATATTTTCATGATTCTATTTTTGCTCTTTAAGTAACGAGTCCGAGTACGTTTGTTGCAGAAACGTTTTTGTCTGTAACACCACACCTGTATTGGGGTTTATGAGTTCTATAACTAAAAGATGATTTTCCTGAAAATAATTTTCTGCTTCTTTGCAGCTAATGAACAGAATGATACAAAATGATGAAGGGTTTTAGATCACAAACCCTTCCATCCATCGTCTATACCTGCTTGTCCATGCAGGGTTGCTGATGCCCATCTCCAGCTGTCTCAGACGGGGTACACCCTGGACAGGTTGCCAGTCCATCGCACGGCGTAGATTACACACACACACACACACACGCGCGTGTGTGTGTATATGTGTGTGTGTGTATATGTGTGTGTGTGTATATGTGTGCTGAAAGTGATTGGGAAACACTTCAAAATATGTGGTTTTCTGACCTGCTGAGAGAGCTTGAGACAGAAAACAGATATGACGCCTTGCTAACAGATTTGGCCTTTAAAATGGTTGAATCTTTTCACATCCCAGAGCAAGAAGACGAAAAAAATAGCAGCTGAAATTACTTCTTGTAGAAAAAAGGACCATGCAAAAAGTTGCATTGTCTCATCATGGGTCCCAGTCTCCTGGCCTTTCTGAGTTCTTGTCTCCCAAACTCCTCCAAGGGTTCCAGTCTTCAGAGCTCCTTTGCTGATACCATGTCTGTTTTTTTTCCCTCAGCTCCCCTGGTCATCACACATCTGTCCTTAATCACCAGTTAGCATAGCTGTTCCTCATCTCCCTTCACTTCCCTCACAGCTAGGATAAAGACACCAGTACCCCACAACCCTGGACAAGTTCAAGCAGGTATAGGACATAGATGGATGTTGCATTTGATAAAAGCGCCTTCAGAAAGATTAAGTGTGAAATTAAATGTTAATAATTAACACTTACCTAAAAGCAATTCTCCAGGTGGTTTAGAAATGTTATAGTTGGAAATGAGTAATCTAAGTATGAAAGGAGCATCAATCTGAAGTTATGTATCCTAATTACAGTAAGAGGAGGATGAAGGCAGAGGGTTGATTGGAGCTGTGGGGTTTGTCGTTTTTAAGGCTTTTAGTGAATAGTTTTATAACTTCTGAAAAGCCTAATAATAATAATAATAATAATAATAATAATAATAATATGATTACCTTTAGAAAAATACAATCAAGTTCAAAAACTGCCCTCCACTTTTAGACTGATCTAGTCAGGCCGCCGTGTTTCGCCCACGTCTCAAACTTAAACGGGTCAACGTTATAAACAGGATTTTTTTTTTAGCCATCACAAAACTTTTCCAGTATTTATCATGTTGATCAAAGCGATAACTAACTCTATTAGTGCTGGCTAAAACTTGACTTCTACAGCATCATGATGAGATCAGGCAGAATAGTGAAGTGGATCTTTACTAGCCTGGCCCGCCAGACTCCTCCTCTGTCTAATTCTGCACAGAGAGAGTCTGGGAACTCTCCTATTCAAATAACCCCACCCCGTGAGAATTCTAACCGAGCCAATCAGCG